GTCCATCCTTTATTCTTCAAATGATGGAATCTGTAATGGCGTGATTGCATCATCCAATTACGTCTTCGATTTTGGATAAGATTTTATTAATAATCATACTAAACAAGATCTTCTGTTGTTCATACCTGAGCGGATCATCTTACCAATCGTATATAATACTCTTTCGGTTTTTATTATAAGACCCAATTTGATTTTTTATTTGGTTCTAATTATAAAACCCAATTCATTTTGTCTCTTATATTTATGTATTTTTTTTCAACATAATCCTTGATAGTTTTAGTCAATATACTTAATTAGCAAGGATATTTTAGGAATGACAACACTTATTTATTATAAATAACCAACTTAACTTACTTCTTTAATCTCCTTAAATAAGTTAATTGGGTCTTATAATTAGGACCGAGGAGTATTATATTAATTTATTTGTCAAACGCTTGCTTTTCGCCCACTCGTAACCGCTTTTTTATGTATAAAGTTCGTTGACAACTTGACGTCACATTTTCTGAGATTGATAGTCGGATAATTGTTCTTACATCTCATGAACATCAATTTAGTATAAACGAGTCAGCTGAACCGGTGCTCTCTGTCCGACTTGTGGCGATTCTTAAAAGCTCTGCGCAGACGCAGGGTATAAGTATCATAACCTATCTGTCCACGCTTTCTTTAAATTAAGCTTAATTTTGCTGAGTGGTAAGGTGTATTTTATTTGCATGTCCTATTGCTATAAATGTTTTATATTCGCATCGGCTTGTCCTTCAGTTCCAATCTTGTCGCCCACAAGACGTACCATTGGAATCTGATTTGGCACTTCGCTTTTACTTATTTTGTTCAGCACAATCGAATCGGTTCCCATACAACTGCACGATTACCATCTTCCATTCTAATTCTGAGTCGAAAATGTTGTTTGCTGTTCTGCTTGGTTTTTATTTACCAACACTGGTTTCCTGATTGCATAGTGGGTGCTCGACAAAATTCCTAATTTCTAATGAGAACAAAGAGAGAGCTTAAGATAAGCATGGGTAAGAACGGAGGAGCAAAAGGAGCACTAAAATTAACATTCTGCATCGAAGCCTTGCAGTGCGGACCAGTGGTGAGGTTGCAATGCGGTCTTTGGGTGCTGAGTAGGGTTCTGGGTGTGGGTGGGCTGTACCACTTGTGAAAGGTATGCTCCTCCCCTTCTTTTGACTTGCATAATTGTTTCTGTTATGTCTTTCCTCCTCAATCATTGTGTTTCTGCGCTTTTATTTACCTCATAAACATCAAGGGAAATTGTAACATGACAGCATTATGATCCATATATTACATGTTGTATGTCAAAAGTTTCAAGGTGACAGCGCATTTCTGTGTGAGAGCTTGACTAGGATTCCTCCCGTCCCCTCGTGACAAGCTGTTTATTTTGAATTCGGTCATGATTTGCTCTCTTTGCATATTGTATTTATCAACATTGTTATGCTGGGCATCCGCATACGACTCGTGGAAGGTTTGGTTAATTTTTTGTTAGATATGATTTGATACCGATTAAACTGAGGAACTTGTGATGAATTCAAAATTTGCATGCTAAAAGTAACATTAGGTTATTATTTAGGGTACCAATAAGTAATATGTAGTTTGATTTACGGCCTAAGTTATATTAGGTTCTCTCACGCCAATTGCAAGCTTTCCGGTAGGCACTATGGAGTATATGTTGCAATCATATATGGTCATCATTTGGTTGCTTTAGAAATGTGAAATTGTTCCACATCTGCACTGAAGAAGAGAACAAAGACTAAGCATAGGCGTGAGAAGTCTGTTAATGTCGCTTAAAACAATGTGGTGTACAACTACAAGTGTCATTTTTGTTGGAATCACAATCTAAAAAGGGGCTCTTTACTGTAAGTCAATCAACAGTATTATGGTGTTGATATATGTCATATTACTGAGTTTTGTTTTCTGACATAGTTCTCTTTTGCTTTAGGGCATATCAATCAAGAGTATTAAGGCTGACATAGTTCTCTTTTGCTTTAGGGCATATCAATCAAGAGTATTAAGGTGATACAAGTTAGTGTTTGTATAGTTTTCTTCCCTTGATCTATTAATAATTATTTCATCCCGAAGTCTTTCATTGAAAGTTTTACTCACCATACTCCAAAGTCCAAACGCTGAGTTAAACCTATCAAGCAGTTGTGATTTAATGCAAAGGTCAGGTTTATCAGGATTTAACAGGACAGTTTTATCCCTAGTTTAAGTCATCACTTGTCATCCTTGCTCTCACGCAACTCTTTATTATGGGACCCAACCCACGCAGGAGATGGATGTGAGTTTTTGGTTTGATGCTCTTACATTTGTGTCAATATCAAAGATGGGTCCAGCCCAACAAATCCTAATACCAACTCACAATCATATTACACTTGGTGTTTGAATGTTGAATCACTTCCTACTCCTATCACTCGTAATACTTGGCAGCCTCCTCCTCTAGACTGTGGGAAGGTGAATGTAGATGGCGCAATGTCCTCCTCTAGAAAGAAAGCGAGTTGCGGAGGATCCTATGTAAGGGATCACAGCGGTTGTTGGATTGCTGGTTTCTCTCATGCTGTTGGAAACTGTAGTGTGTCAGAAGCTGAAGAATGGACCGTTTTGAGAGGTCTTAATTTTGTTTGGGAGATGGGGTTCAGGAAAATAATTGTTGAATCTGCCTTTAAGGTTGTCATAGAAAAGATCCTTGATAGATGCAACAATGGTTCAAACAGCCAGTTCTTTTGCAGATACAGAGCATGATGGAGTATGATTGGGATATTCGGTTTCAATATAAAAATTCCCAGAGCAGAATTACATCGCAGATGCCCTTGCAAAGCAAGGTTTACGTAGGACCTCATTTTACTGTGTGTCTAGGAATACTTGGATTAACTTTTGAAAAGTGATATTACAGTATTTGAGGTAAATACATAACAAAAATGTTATCTCGACTCTTGTGAAAGTTTTTTTCAAAGTGCTTATGAGGGTTCCCAAGCCTCCCGTCCATGCCATTTTCGGGCCTTGGTTACCTATGATTGTCTGGGAATCATTCTCTTTATTTCAGGCTTTAGCCCTTTGTACGAAAAAATTGAATAACATCATGCTCAACTTATTGTTTAGTTTCAATCACAGTCACAATGATCTTGTTGTAGCACATTTTATTCAGAAGTGATTTCATCCTTTTTATTCATGTGTTCATGTTTTCAGAAAAGAGTGATACATATGATGGTTGTAGAAGATTCACGTTTCACAAATAGTCGTGTGTGTGAGACAGTAATAGATAGGTATCCAACTATCAGACACTTAAGATTTGTTGGTTTTTTTCCCTTCAATTTTGACTTTGGTGGAGAGCATTTAATACAGAGATGATTTTCAAAACCATATCAGCAGAAATTGAAGACTCCGAGATTTGAATTGCTCTTTCAGTGAAGAAGAAGGGCAAACGGCATCGGTTGATTTGTGATGTTCACGAGGAGATATGATCACGGGAATAATTGGAAGTTCGAGATCTCATATCTTAGAAAGTAGGAGTATAAAACAAAAATTTCCCGGTCAAATAAATATTATCTGCAAAAAAATTAAGAATAACATTGAGAAAAACAAGGAAAAAATTGAAAAAAGAAAGAAAAAAAAATTCGCAGCAGTTTCAGGCGCAAGTCTAGACTCTAGAACGACCATGTCCCCCGTTTTCAGCATAAAAAATTTTCTTTTATTCAATTCCAAGCAGATTCTCTTCTCTTGGAGAAGCAAAATGCAGCATTGCTAATACTATTTTATTGCATATTGGCATTGTAAGGGGTGGGGACCTAGATAGGGAGATTTAAAATCAGATTTTGAGAAGGGAATTTAATCATTTTAAACTTTATTGACAACTGAAAAACATGCAATTATAAGTTTTAAAGTAGAAAATTATAATAGGGTTATGCTAGCTACTACCTCATATCTTTAGTATACAAGCTAGTTTGACTTTTAATTTAGTTATAAATATATGATCTAAATTCATTTTGTTTTTCATATATATATATATATATATTTTCAAATAGTCCTTGTAGTAGTGTATATTTTAAAAGATATATCAAATAGTAGTTCTTATTAATGTACATGATTAGTAAGAATATTTTAGAAAAGAACACTATTTATTACAAAGAACTAATTTAACTAATTTTTTTAATCTATTTAAATTAGTTAACTAGCTCTTCAATTAAGGATTGGAGGTAATACTTGTTTGAGATTTCTTAATAATTAAATTTCTTAATCGCTAACTCATAATAATTCTCCAAACTAAATATGTGGACAGGTAAAGAGGTGCATTTCACAAGATCATCATTTTTGTTAGTCGAAACTCCAAAGTGATGTGGGGGTGTTTGGTTAACTCTAAAAGTATTTCTTAGAATCATTTTTTCGCAAATTGAAACAAACTCTTCCACATATTTACTTCGTATACCATAAAAACACTTCTAAAACCATGATTTTTGTTCTTACCCAAACACCCCTGTAAACTATGACAGATTTTACCAATATAGTAATCTCGGTGGCAATAATTTAAGGACAAAGGGTAAAATGGTCATAACATAGCCTGCTTTCCTTACCATACTAACTCTTGGTAAATTTCTCGAATCATGCTGGTTATGGTTTATAATTAAAATTGATGGAAAACAAGTTATAAAATTAAAATTATTTAAAATCTTTTATTTTGTCAAAAATTACTGTTAAATTTTTTTTTTTTGAAAAAAGGCTCTTGATGAAAGCTAACTACCATTTCTGATTTATAGTTTTCTCTTCTCAATATAATTAATAAGGATATATAGTTAAAATTATCAGAGGTGTTTGTAGAAATCAATCATCATATATTAATTCTTTACTAAATTTAGTAAAATTTCATGGATTAGGAACTAAAAGAAGTATTTCAAAATATCACTTGCAAAAAGGCCAGAGGAGGATCCAATATCGTAGGTTTGACCGTCGTTGCTGAGACGACGTCGTTCTCTGCGAGGAGGAGGAACAGATGAGAACGAGGAATCGCAGAGAAAAGAGATCGCCTTCTTTCTCTCTTTCTATTCCCTGTGGCCATTTTCAGTCACACGCGCATACAGATGCATACAGGTTGTGTCTGTCTATATATATAGGGGTGTGTGTTTGTGTGTATCGCTTCGATTAGATTAGCAATAGCAGGCAAGCTCCTCTCATGGCTTCCTACGCGAACTCGCTTCTTTCCTAATTCTTTCTAATTGGTATCATCCCCAGTTTCTCCGATTTTCATCGATTCAGATAAAAAAATTTTACCTTTACACATCATCTTCGAATCCCTATTTCACCCGCCATGAGTTCCGATCAAACCAATGCCCCCGGAAACGGTGGAGTTCTTCAGATCCACCATGGTCGGAGGTTACCGGACTTCCTGCAGAGCGTTAACCTCAAGTACGTCAAACTGGGTTATCACTATTTAATGACCCATCTTCTCACTCTCTGTATGATCCCTCTAATGTCCATCGTCATAATTCAAGCTTCCCAAATGAACCCTGAAGAGATTCGCCATCTCTGGCTCCACTTACAGTACAATCTCGTCATCGTCATCACCTGCTCTGCGATCCTCGTCTTCGGATCCACCTTCTACCTCTTGACCCGACCCAGATCCATTTACCTCCTCGACTATTCTTGCTACAAACCCCCCTCACACCTGCAAGTGAAATACAAACAATTCATGGACCACTCGAAGCTGACGGGCGATTTCGACGATTCGTCTCTCGAATTCCAGCGAAAGATTTTGGAAAGATCTGGTCTTGGTGAAGAAACATACGTCCCTGAAGCTATGCATTACATCCCACCACGGCCATCGATGGCGGCTGCGAGAGAAGAAGCAGAGCAGGTGATGTTCGGAGCATTGGACAACCTATTCGAGAACACCAAGGTCAAACCCAAAGACATAGGAGTCTTGGTCGTTAACTGTAGCCTGTTCAATCCCACACCTTCGCTTTCCGCCATGATCGTGAACAAGTACAAGTTAAGAGGTAACATCAAAAGCTTCAATTTGGGAGGTATGGGTTGTAGCGCAGGCGTCATAGCCATCGATCTCGCCAAAGACATGCTTCAAATTCACAGGAACACATACGCAATCGTGGTTAGCACAGAGAATATCACTCAAAATTGGTACTTTGGGAACAAGAAATCAATGTTAATCCCAAACTGCCTCTTTCGTGTTGGTGGGGCTGCCATTTTACTCTCAAACAAATCCTCAGATCGAAGAAAAGCCAAGTACAAGCTGCTTCAAACCGTGAGAACCCACAAAGGGGCAGACGATAAAGCTTTCAAATGTGTGTATCAGGAACAAGACGATGCAGGCAAAACAGGGGTTTCACTCTCAAAAGATCTAATGGCCATAGCAGGAGGAGCTTTAAAGACCAACATCACAACACTGGGGCCTCTGGTTCTTCCAATCAGCGAGCAGCTTCTGTTCTTCGCAACATTAATGGCGAAGAAGCTTTTGAACGCGAAGGTGAAGCCATATATACCAGATTTCAAGCTAGCCTTTGAGCATTTCTGTATTCACGCTGGTGGGAGGGCTGTGATTGATGAACTCGAGAAGAATCTTCAGCTTCTTCCCGTTCATGTGGAAGCATCAAGGATGACACTTCACAGATTTGGCAACACATCTTCGAGCTCAATCTGGTATGAGTTGGGATACATTGAAGCCAAAGGAAGGATGAAGAAAGGAGACAGAGTGTGGCAGATAGCGTTCGGGAGTGGGTTTAAGTGTAACAGTGCTGTTTGGCAGGCTCTGAGGAATGTGAAGGCTTCGCCAAACAGTCCCTGGGAGGACTGTATTCATAGGTATCCTCTTCAGGTTGTGACATAACTAAGCCTCGTTTTGTCTTCTGAATTCTGACAAACATATGTATTACATGTCATACTCATTCGTAGTAAGTAATACATAGTGAAGTGTTTTGGAAACATGTTATGCTTAATTTGGTTCTGTTCATTTTGTTGGGAGATTTGCATGTTTCTGCAAACAGAGGGACAGAAATCCCTATTCATCAGGTCTGACAAAATGAGTCTGATCATTATACATCTTAAAGAAACAGAGAACTCGGCTTGAGAAATGCAGATGAATATGATGGCTATGACTTCGAATTAACTTTGGTAAAAGTGACTTTTATCCCAAAGTAAAATTGGATAAAGATTAATAATCGGTGGAGTATGATTTGTGACTGAATAGACTTTTATAATAACATTAGTTTGGTAGAAACTTGCTCTTATTGTTTGATGTGAAGTTGCAAAGAAGCACATGAAAAGGATAGAGATAAATAGAGAAAGCGTCAAAGTGCGTTTATTCCAAGATGTTCCCTTTGGTGCCGTTCTATATCATTCAGTGGTGTGGAGTACAAAGCACGTGGCCTGCTCTGTTGAACATTTGTCTCTGTAAGTTGCTTCAAAATAGCCTCTTTTGGAATGGGTCAAATTAATTTTACATCATGTCCTCTCCTAGTTGCTCCTTGTTTTTCTGGGGGTCAAGGAAAAGAGTTTCACAGTTCACACTACCCTCTCCTCTCTCATCTATAATTTATAATTTAAATAAATAAATCCCCATGTTGTGATATGTTGGACTTTCTTCATGAGAGGCCTTTTAGATAATCGTACTACGATCGAAGATGGTTAGGCCCATAAAACTAGGAGGGAATAAAGCATCTGAGTTGTCTTACACTTTCTGACCTTTTTGACAATTTTTTAGAGAGAATTACAAAAAAAAAAAAAAATACAAAGAATACTTGCTTACCTATGGGTCTTCTTTTATAATTTTTTTTTTTTTAGATCTCGTTATAATTCTTCAATTTTTTTTTTTAAAACTAGCTAAGCTCGTAAAGTTTGGTAACTTTATAATTTATTTTTGAAAAAATAACACTTAGCATGCTTTTATTTTAAGACAATGGGTTTCTTTTTGCATTTTCTTCTTCTTCCCTTCCATTAATCGAACGCGCGACCTCTAAGGCAACTTCGAACATCGAACATCAAAGCTAAACCACAAGGCCCACGATTGCCGGTTCCTTTTTATGTTTTCTAATCAGATAATTTTATAATATTTTTCAGGTCAGCATTTTTTTTAAAAATCATATGATGGGATTGACGCTATTAAGTTCGCTTAAGTAAAATAAACATTATTTAGACCAATTCACCGTCCTTCTGCGTATTTTTCAAAATATTGTCAAAAACAAATTTTCCAAATAAAGGTATGTTTCAAACACAATAAGTAAAAGGGATAAGAAATCACAATAAACTATGTAGGCTAAAAGCAAAACACAATTAAGGTTCAGGGACCAGGAGCGGTATTTTTTTTTTCCTTTATTTTTTTTAGTATCATGGTTTGTGTAAAAAAATAATACTCCTCATGTTCTTAATATATGACTCATTTAATTATTTTGATTAGATTAAGAAAATTAGATAAACTAGTTAATTATAAGAAATGTGACACGTTTTTTCCTAAAACACTATAATCATCTTTCTTAATATTTCCTCTCCCTCTTCTACTTGATTATGGTTGATGGAGTATCCAGAGGGATAATTTAGAGAAAACCGATAAATATGATAAATGAGTCTTATACTTAGGACCAAAACCAACTCAATAATTGGGTGCTATATTAGGAACCGGAGGAGTATTAATTAATACTCCTCTAATCCTTAATATAAGACCTATTTAACTAATTTGATTAACTCAAAAAAGTTAGGTAAATTAGTTAATTATAAAAAAAAATGACATATTTTTCTTAAAATGTCATAATTATCTTTTTTAATATCTTCCCTCTCTCACTTATTTGATTATAATTGAGGGGGTATTTATAGGGATAATTTAAAAAAATTGATAAATATGAGAAATAGGTCTTATATTTAAGAACAAAATTAACTTAATAATTAAGTCTTATATTAAGGACTAGAAGAGTATATTGGATGATCAAAAAGTGAGTGAGGCAATAAAGGAGGGACTAAGAACTTTAAAACCATATGGATACAATAATTACAACATTCCATTAGACGGGTTCGGTAACATGAATTGCACAAATAATAAACAGCTAATTAAAAAGTCCCATTCAATAATTTTATTATTGAGGATCCTTCTCAATCTTCCTCTATCTTTTTTCAGTGACTCCATGCCACTTATTTACTCTACAATCACTATATAGATACAATTATTATACACGATTGATTAATTAATACTACTACTCTGGTCCTAATTATAAGAGTCAGTTGACTAATTTGAGGAGATTAATGAAATAAGTTGAGTTAGTTATCTATCCTAAATAGATATTGTCTTTCTTAAAATATCCTTACTAATCAAATATATTAACTAGCACTATAATTATTAGAAGGATTATCTTAGAAAAAATTGAGTAAATATGAGAGACAAAGTGGATTGGGGTCTTATATTTAGAACCAAAATAAAAATCAAATAGGGTCTTATATTAAAGACCGGAGGTAGTATCATTGTTATTCTTAAACTCAGTGGTAGATTGTGATGTTCCTTTTGTTTATACTTCGCCCTTTGACGGAGCTGTAAAGGTCGTGATCAATACTTATTTAAATCAAAGGGTGTTTTTTGTTTTTTGTTTTTTAAAAAACGTGTGGAGTGCTTTCGGCCTATCCAATTTGGATCTCATAATTGAATAGCACCTATAACAATACTTTACAATAGCGGACTTTATTATTGACGGATTCAATTTAATTCACTGGGCACGCTACGCACGGAGAGTTATTTAAGTTTTAACTATAATGGGAAAAAAGACAAAGCAAATTAAAGCTTATTCCTTTCTGTTCTTAAATATATACTTTTTTAACTAATTTGATTTGATTAAGGAAGTTAGATAAATTAGTTAATTATAAGAAATATTACATGTTTTTTTGTAAAATACCATAATCATCCTTTTTAATATTTTTTCTCTCTCATTTACTTGATTATGGTTGAAGAAATATCTATAAAAATAATTTTAAAAAATTAATAAATATAAAAAATAAATTTTATATTAAGGATTAAAATTAACTTAATAATTAAATTTTATATCAAAGATAATAGAAGTATCACGTAATTTCACGTAGAAATGGTACTCGTAGAAGATAAGTGATCGGCTAGTACGGTGCTATTTTCTTTTAGGAAAAATTACACTCAAGTCCAACAAAAGGTAATTAATTTCAAAAAGTCTCTAAAAATCCTGAAATGATTTCTAAGTCCCCAGGGACCTGTGTGTAATTAATTATAATTGTGAAGTTACTTATTTACCCACATTAATTTGAACCCAATATAATTCATTTACAACATTAACGGTGGCTGTTGACAACCCGAGGAAAGGTAGTTAACAATCTCGGTGATGCTCCTGGCATCCTACAGACTGAGTTGTCAAGAGTACTGCCAAAGTTGTCAACCACCTCTTCTTGGGTTGTCAACAGACACTGTTGAGGTTGTAAATGAATTGCTGCAAAAATTAGTAAGGGTAAATAAATAATTTTATAATTATAATTTATTACACACGGGTCTCTGAGAATTTCAAAATCATTTTGAGATTTTTATGGATTTTTTTAAAATTAATTATCTTACTCGAAAATTTCCCTTTTTTTTAATACATACAGAGCGAAACATGAACCAAAGAACGGACTCTACTGTAAGAGATCCTCTCTCATGTAAGCAAAGCAGTGAGGGTGATTTGATGGTCTGGAGGCTGCAGTGCTAATTATTATCGCTTGATCTGATATATCAGTTTTTGTGTTTCTTCATCTCAGTTGTGAAAGGAGCACATGGCCACTTGCGTTGGGGTGCTGCGTTTAGGCTTCTAGTGAATGGCTGTATAGTAAAATGATTTGTGGTAAGTGGTAGCCACAAATTGTCTTGGCGCTTTCCCTTCGTACGGTCGCTCCTATCTTCTCTGCTGTGGCAAGTCTCGTGTTCAATTCAGAAAAAGACGCAATGCTAGTCTTGTTTGAAGGCATAATGATACTCTGAAGTCTGAACCACCCACCGGAGACGGGCGAAAAAGATAAAGAAGAGGAAAACTAGCCACGAGCCTACGAGTAGGGTGGTCTGATATTTATTGAGTTGGAAGGGGACCTGCTTCAGCATTTGTAGCGACGTACAGGCGGTTATCAGATGGAACTAGGCATCATTTATACTCTGTACAAGGACAGCTTAGATTGGGCCCCGTAGTTTTTTTAATCAACACATGCTACTCTTGTTTTTATTTCCGCTCTTATTTATAAATTTTAATTTTAAAAAAAGAGTCTATTTTGGTATTATCTTTTATTATATTTTTCTAAGTTTTTTTATTTATTATTTATTATATAGACATATTTAAAAATAAAAAAATATTCTTAACCTATTTATTTTTTTAATTAATTATTTATGAGGGCGTACAGATCGTTATCGGATGTAGCTGGGCATCATTTATATTCCGTACAAGGACGGCTTAGATTGCGCCCCATAATTTTTTTAAATAATTTTAATGAACACGTGCTATTCTAGTTTTTACTACTTCTTTTTGTTTTTGTTTATAAATTTTATTTTTTTTAAAAGTCTATTTTAGATGTTTTAATTTGAATTTGTCTTAACATTTAATGTAAGTTTTTTAATTTTGCTTTCAATTATTTTTTCTCTCTTTCTTGTAATACTATCTTTTATTACATTTCTCCACGTATTTTTTTTAATCATTTTTCTCATTTATTATAAAGAGATATTTGGAAATAACAGCAGAATGGGTCTTCCCCGTTATAAATCATCAAGTAGGATATCAATTACATGTTTTAAAGATTGTCCCTGTTCTTCGTTTATCCTTCACACGTAACCCAAAGCGAGCATCCTTCCTGTGAAAAGCCGTATCACAGGTCGACATGGTGAGTGTTATAGCGATGTACAGAGCTCTGCTACGCATGGTGATGAAGATGGTAGGGATGAGACCCAAAAGGTGGAAATCCACCAAGGAACGGTCATCACTTCTGGGTTCCTTCCCAACCCCAGAACAAAAAGCTCGCCGTCGTTTTCCTTCACGGCTTCGCTGCCGACGGAATCCTGACGTGGCAATTCCAGGTTCTGGCACTGGCAAGAAAATACGCCCTGTACGTGCCAGATCTAGTGTTCTTCGGAGAGTCCACGACGGAGAGACCGGATCGGTCGGTGGAGTTTCAGGCGGAGTGCGTGGCGGAGGGGTTGAAGAGGCTCGGAGTAGAGAAGTGCTGTGTGGCAGGATTCAGTTATGGAGGGTTCGTGGGGTTCAAGATGGCTGAGATGTACAGTGACACGGTGGAGTCGCTGGTGGTGAGTGGATCGGTCCCCGAGCTGATGGAATCGTTCAGCGGTCCGGCGCTTGAGAGGCTCGGAGGTTTCTCAAGCTGGTCACAGCTTCTGCTTCCCAGTAGAGCAGATGGAGTTAGATTGCTGTCGGATGTTGGCTTCTACAAACGCATTCCATGCCCTAGATTCTTGCTTCGAGACTTCTTAAAGGTATCACACGTGAATTATGAATATATTTATATATATATATATATATAATTGTACTAATGATTATTAGATAGATAGTCACGTCATCAGCCAAGTACTCAATATCACTATCTTTTTTGGGTGAATTCCATGTCGTGAACTTCAGTTAAAAGAAGATTCATAAACTTTTATAGGAGTCCTTGTATTATTGGTACCGTTAGTTTAGGTTGACGTGGCACACATCTCTTCTCTTCTTTCTCCGCCTAATCTTCGCCGACACTACTGTTTTTCTCTCTCTCTCTCTCTCTTCCCGTTATCATCGTCTTCCTATCCTCCCCAACCGCACCCCCACTGTCCTTCTTCTTCTTCCTCTCTCTCTCCTTCCTTTTTCTCTCTCTGCTACCTTCACTGCCAAGAGAAACTCTTCTCACCCTCCTTCTTCGGCCCCCCTTGGGTTCTCATTCTCTCTCCTTCCGTTCCCATACAAGGGTGTGGGGTCAGGGCTAAGATAGAAATTACTCCTCCGGTTCTTAATATAAGACCCATTTAACTAATTTGATTAGATTAAGGAAGTTAAGTAAGTTGGTTAATTATAAGAAAAGTGACACATTTTTTCTAAAACACCATAATCATCTTTCTTAATACCTCATCTCCCTCTTCTATTTGATTATGGTTGAGGGAGTATCCATAGGGGTAATTTAGAGAACATTGGTAAATATGAGAAATGGGTCTTATATTTAGGACCAAAACCAACTTAATAATTGAGTCCTATATTAAGGACCGGAGGAGTATATATTATAAAGATGAGGTAGCTTGTTTGGAATACCGAGTGAAAACACTTATAATCACGTTTCATGTAAAGCAAGATAAAACTCCTCTCACATAGTTACCTCGTATTTCATAAATCATGATTAAAAAGTTGTTTATAAGTTACTTCAAATGGGCTTTTAATCTTGCGGGCGCTACCTTGTGTTTTTTCTTTGAAAGAACAACTATCTTAGAGGTAGCATTTGCTCCATCCAATCGCTGCTTCTAATAAATATATTTTTAATTGAAAGCGGTGGCATTTGTTTTATCCAAGTGCTACCTCTTGTTTTACTTTAAAAAAATACAACTAATCAAGCGGTAACGTTTGGTACTATAAATGCTACAACTAAATTTTTTAAAAGTTAAATATATAATTCACAAATAATAGGTAGCGTTGGTTTTATTAAATGCTACTACATGAATGCTACTAAGGTCATTTTCTGTAGTAGTGGGTGTGGCTGGAAAAGGCAGAAGACAACGATAATGGGGAGAGAGAGACAGGGCGCGGTGTCGCTTTAAAAAACAAATTCTTCCCAGATAGTATAAGCACTTTTACAAAATATAATTTTTATGTTGCTTATTTATATTGATTAGATAAATAATCAAAGAAAGGCAGTGGTATTTTTTCAATTAATTTAAAGTTTGAAAGAATATTTACATCAGTTAATAAATAACCGATATAATAAAACTTTATGATGTCAATTATTATGAAAACTGACATAATATATATCTTAACTATAAAGTGATCTGTAATAATAAAAATAGTATAACTCGGGGGTGTGGTGAGTGAGCGGTGGGGGCTCATCCTCCCTTAATCAAGTGTCGAGGGTTCAATCCTTGCCTTGGGCATGGAAAAGCTTTAAAACCCCGGGCCAACTGTCCCGCCCATCGAGGTGCCTACAAGCCAGCGAAGAGATTAGTCACCGGGTCCGCCGGTGGATACCCTGATGTTTCATCAAAAAAAAAATAGTATATTTAAAAAATAACTTTTTATGTTGGTTGCATGAGAAGAGACATGAAAAATTAACTTTTTATGCCGGTTACTTCTTTTAACCGACATAGAAATAGGTTAACCCAATGTTATATATTCCAGAGACTGTTTTTTTCCCCCCTTCCCCGGTGCCCTTGAGAAACTATCTTAGCTTGTTTCTTGTATGTAGAATAAATCTCACTTCTAAGGCCAACTACTACTTCCGGTCCTAATTATAAGATTTTATTTATAGTCTACAAACGAGGTCTTATTATAAATAGGACCGGAGGTAGTACTTCACTATATATAAGTGGAGACGGGGGATGCCACTCCTAAATCTCTTAATGAAATCACAATACTGAAATAAATTAAGATTGTACGTAGATGATTAACATAATGGTTTTCAAATTGTCACTTATTGATTATTATCTCCTAATAATATATTGATATTGTACAAATTATATGCATGTATCATGAACATGTCCGTGAAAGTGGTCACTCTAGATTTTGAAAGAGAGAGTCAATTTACCTGTCTGTCTAGCAGGAAACCGTTTGTGTCAACCGAAAGAGGAAAGAGGAACTTTTGGTGGCACTTGTGAAGAATATAGATTCAGCAATCCCCAAGTATCCACAGGTAATTAGTTTCAATAATTAGCAGAAGAATTTGTGTTTAGCTTATATATATATATATATATATATATATTGATGTTGAGGAGCATGGATATATATAATAGAGAATACATCTGATATGGGGAGCAAAGGACAAGATCTTCGGCTTGGAAGTTGCCAAAAACTTGAAAACGTACGTTCTTGTACTCCCATAATATATTCTACCTATAATCTCTAATATAAAACCTCTTTTAACTTTTATTTTGGTCCTAAATATAAAATTTTAATCCATTTTGTCTCTCATATTTACGTATTTTTTCTAATGTAGTCGTTTTAATAATAGTAGTTCTAGTCAATAAACTTGATTAGTGAGGATATTTTAGGAAAGACTACTTATTTATTACAAATAAATAATTTAACTTATTTTTTTAATTTACTCAAATTAGTTAACTAGCTTTTATATTTAGGACCGGAGGATATATATATATATTTATGTATGTATATCTGAAAATTTATTTATGTTGTTGATAATGAAGAAATATGGATGGTGGCAGGGAGATAGGGGAGAAAGCGGAGGTGCACGTGATAGAGGAGGCGGGTCACCTGGTAATGTTGGAGCGTCCTTTTGTTTTCAGCTCACTCCTCTCCCACGTTGTTGCTTCTTCCCATCTTCAATGTTCCTAGACTACACCGCATTATCCATGTTTGGTTCCTTTGCATCAGTCCAACGTTATATTACTAATGTTTGTGTAATGCCTCCTAATATTCTGAAGAAGCTGTGCGTGAGTATTATTACAAGTTTGCTTTTGTTTGTGTGTCCACCTACATTCATAAAACCGATCATACTAAATATTTATACGCTTTATAAGTAACTAATTCATTGTAATTAATGTTGTATTGACTATTATCACTTGAAAAACATTACAAAAATTAAATTCTTTACATATTCAATGTTATAACTGCTTTTTAACCAATATTTTTGGTTTACATGAGATTGTTAAAACACAGTTATACTGTGGAATGGAAGAGTCTGTGTGCGCTGGCTTTGGGCGTTTGTCCTTTGTTTTTCTTTATCCCTACGTCAACTCGTCAACTGAGCCCGTAACACTAACTAATTGACCTTTTGGAAAGCCGATGGAAGAGCAAACAGGGGAAGGGAAGAGCCAACGGGGGAGGTGCTCTCCATAAAAGACAGAGGCCCTTTGGTAGAAATAAGGCCTAAGTCAACGAGGCCCAAAACACTATGGGCCTAGACAATCAGATTACCCCGGTGCATGAAGCTTGGAAAAAGAGTTACCTTAGCACCAACAGGTTGGATCTAGCAGAAAGGCTAGTCTCACACAACGTGACTCTTTGAATAGGATTATCTACAATACTAAAATACCCATGACTCGCAAAAAAAACAGAGAAAGTTACCTTAGCCTTGAGCTTGTTGCTCAACTGGAACCACATGCCTCCTCAGAGAAGGTCATGGGTTCTATCCCCCTTGTTGCCAGGTAAGGGGTGGGTGTGTGTTGGGGTCCCCTCCCCTCTGGGGATGTGTTTGTGTGGCAATATGCTGTACTCATATTTGAGAGAGAGACTGTCAAGATTTTAGGTGAGAGTAAACTTACATATTAATTCATGGCTCTAAGATTTTGAGTTAAGATGTGATGTCAAATCTTTTATTTCCTAATCCAATTGTTGGAAAACCCCATGCTCCAAGTACGGTGCCCCAATTAAAGCTTGACATGTCAACCAAAAAAATTTATGACCCAAAACAGTAATCTCGGCTCAATTGTGATATTAGTGAGAGAACTAAGCATATAGTGCTGTCATGTAAGCCACAATTGGACAAGTCAGCCTCTCTCAGCGATCCTCTCATTATGCTTAGTATATGTAGCGCATTCTTATTCTGAAGCATGATGCTTAACCGCCATTCGCATTCATGATTAACGTTGATGATTAAATAATAACGTCGTCATTTAGAATTATTATATATAACCTTTAGAACCTCTAATTGTGTGTATGTGGTCTATGTTTCGAGTTGAAAAGGCTTTCTCACCATAAAGTTTGTCAGCGACATTGAGATATCATTCCAAGAATATTATCTGATAGATAGCTTTAATTAACTTTTCTCCGAACTTTTCTGTTTCTCTCTCTTGTTGCTGGTTATTATTCACAAACACGCTATGCTGTCATCCTAATTCACAACCAAGGAATATGAGGATACGATTATTCATTACAATGATCTCAATGACAAGGGCAAGACAGGAAAGGAGAAGAGACACACAGCCATAGGGGATACACATATGGGGATATATATATGTGTATTATAGAGTCATCATGCAACAGCACCTACATATAAATGCTAAGGAGCAGATGATGGATTCACGCAGTCATTGATTCCCTTCAATTCAGCTGGAGATACTTCATGAGCCTGTGGGCGAAACCAGTAAAAGTCATGACCATGCAGGTATCACTGTGGTATATAATTATAACAACAGAAAACAATGATAGATTCTGAGGCATTGATTGCAGAAACAAATATGGAAACGACGGGGAAAGTTCCACTGATTATGGGTAAAGATGGGAGAACTTTTGCATGTTCGATAACACCACAGGTATGAAATAATAATGTCTCAACTCTCATGCACGTCATTTAACTTCTTCAACAAATCAACAACGCTGGCTTTTCTTATTCAGTTTTAGTCTTACTATTTGTCCCAGATTTTAAATTCAACGTTGAATCTGTCCCTATAAATCTAACAGAAGAAGAAAACATGCATGCATTGTGAGTGAACATTAATTACCTCTCTTCTTCATCAACATTGCCGGTGGATTTGTAGTTGGGGATGGGAACACGGCCAGATTCGATTTGTCTTAGATCCTCTAAGAGGATTTCATAGTGTCTCTTAACTTCCTCGGCTGATTTGCCACCAACAGCTTTAGCCACATTCTGCCATCGGTCAGGAGTGTCCTTGTCATATTTTGCAAGAGCCTTCTCAAAGAGCTTGTTCTGTTTAGGTGTCCAAGATGAATCAGAGGCCTTTTTGCTGAGAGAGCTTGAAGCCATAACTATATATATATATATATATGAGAAGAAAATGGTTCAGGGATATAGCCTGTGAAGGAAAATGGTGAAGGGGGTGTACTTATAAATGTTGAGAGATAGTGGGATGAAGCTAGTGAAGGAATCTGAATAGCCAAAAGTTGGAAAGCACTTGTGACTCTGTCTGCTTTGGAACCACGAAACCAAGCAGGACAATGTACAGCCAGAGAGGAGAATCAGTTTCAAATGAATCTGGTTCCAAATTTCACATCTTTTTTTGTTTTCTTTTCTTTTTCCCCACTCCACAATCCTTTAATTTCTTTCTCATTACTGATAAAGTTGTTTTTCCTTCATTATGGACACGAAAAAACTGATTAGCTTCGTAAGAAAATATTTGAAATGACGAGCATCAGGTTTAGGTTACAGCTAGAGGGCGTAGGGGGAACAAAATAAAGAGGAAAAGATAGAAAGATAACATCTTGAATATCTGCAATTCAGAAGAAAAAACAAGAGAATCATGGTGGGGATTGAAGAGAGAGAAGAGAGGAGATAAGTAATAGTATATTCTTATTGGTCAATTCACTTAGTGGACTGTGTCATACGAAATTTACTCTTTATCTTAACATAGAATATTTTGAATTCATTAAAATTGCAAGTCCCAAGTACGTGGGGTTCTGGGGTGAACTTTACTCTCTCTATCGCAGAAGATGAAAAACAATAAGAGCAATGTAAATATTTTCCCCTTGTTTCTGCTGCAACTTGAAACTTGATTCTGTGATTTTTAATCTGAATTCTCACTCTTGGAAGTGTGCATGTAGCAATTGGATGAGATTCTTTTCTTCATGGCCTTATTGGCTTCTCTTTTTCTTCTTTAATTATTTTTTCTTGGTACTGCTGTCATCAATGTCCTCAGTTTTGGTCTGATACTAAGGATATATGTGGATGAAAGAATAATGAAGAGGAAGAAAAAGTTCCGTTCAAACAATTATTTGTGAGTGAAGAAAGACAATGCAGAATTTTAAACTAAACAATCAAAACTCTATCAAGTTCTTCTTTATGAGGTTTTGACGATTTTGCAGAAAAGTTTTCTCAGATAATAGAGTCGGAGCTAGAAATCATCACTAAAATATCCTTTTGATTGCCAACTGTGAACTCTTTCCCAATAACTCAAATTGATCGCACTGACGAAATCTGCTAAAGCTGGAAAGAATCTGCCCAGATGAGAAGAAAAAGTGTGTCATAGAAACATTATATTTTGTTGGGTTCTGAGATCTTAGGAATTGGGATTTCGGATGTTTGTTCCGAGCAACGTTGTTTGTTTCTGCATGCTTTGTAGGACACTACTCATCAATAATCAGCTCCTTCTGGCTTTTATCTCTCACTGAGTTTGCCAGCTGATTGGTCAAAGGTTGAAGCGTCTTCTTAATTGGCCAATGGAAGAGATAAGCTGATAAACACTATTTAGATTGTATGTAATAAATGATTAACCTCTCATCTTTCCAGGCATTTGATTGATTGGCATAATACATATGCATCTTCACGCAGATTAAACAGTTAAAATACAAAAAACAAGAGTCTTAATTGTTATATTAAGTACAAATATCCAACTTTCACAGTGCGTCTGATGTATGTGTTTCACAACATTCTATTAAGCTGGGATCAGAAAGGATTCCCAAGGTAATCAAGACTGGCTTTTCTGAAAGAAGAAAGTGAATTTGACAATATATAAATTATTCTAATGCAGATACTGGTTCTGCAACTGTGAACCCACAGGGGCATAAATTGATATTGGCCATGCAAAAGTTGGAATCAATGATGGTGGGAATGGTCCTAACTTGTCCTTTCCAATCCTCTTCATTAATGCTAGAAAGAGTCACACAAAAGTGATTCTGTATGGAGTCTGTATTTTATATCTACATAATAATAATTTCTTTTCTCTCTATCTTCCTCCAAAACATGTGTGTGTGTGTGTGTAATCATTTCTGTGAATATAAAGAATCCGCATAGGTGGTGAGAATGTCAAGATTTGGACGATGATTTTGGTGACCATTTCCAAAGAAGCAGGATATTGAGGTCCCAAAACAATGGAGGAAATGGTCCTAAGTTGTTCTGTTCATCAGCAATAGGTCCCCCCCTCCTGGTGGGCTTCTGATGTTTAATCTGTTCCATAAACTCATTTGCTCTTCATCATTATAATAACAATAATATGAGAAGTTGGGAACCTTATTCATACCTTGACATTCAATATATACTAACTATATCCGGTCTTTAATATAAGAGCCAATTGACTAATTTGAATAGATTAAAGAAGTTTAGTTAGTTATTTGTTAAAAAAAAAAGTATTATCTTTCTTAAAATACCCCTGCTGATCATGTGTATAAGCTAAAACTATCATTTGATGAAACCTTTAACATGTGCAACTACTATGAGAACTACTTTAAAAAAAATAGATAAATATAAGAGACAAAGTAAATTAAAATCGTATATTTATGACCAAATCAAATGGGCCAAGATACACATAACTCTCTTGACCTTTAGATCAGTTACTAGGGGTGTTCATGGGCAGGGCTGGGCAGGACATGTCCCCTGCTCGATGCCTGGCCCAAAAGATGAGCGAGCTGCATTTTGCAGCCTGCTGCCCTGTCTTGT